CTAACAAGATATTTTTTTCTTCAAATATTGAGCAATTCTCACAAGATAATAGCTTGTAGAAGTTGGTGAGACAATACCATTTGATGAGATGATACCCACTATCCTGCTAGGAACTCCTTAAAGACCTGTTAATAAAAAATAAGAAGATTGGAATCTTTGCAGCTTTTAAGCAATGATCTTTTATAAGAATATAATTCCTTTATAGCACATTATTTTACCAATGCTACCACAAAGTAATTTATTTCAAACATATAAACATTGTACCCCACCTGTGCTTTTAATTAAAGTATTAAACAGTACAATTAATCTGCATTTGCTACTTAATGAGCTTCTAAAACACGCATGTACTTAAAAATCTAGGTCATAACTAACAGCTGATTTGGATATTAGTCCACATCTCATCTCTGACACTGATTTGGGCCAAGACTTTGGTTATTTAGCCTTTTACTGTATTTGTTTCCCATGTCTGAAAGTGGATGATGCTTCCCAGTCACTCTACAGGGATGTTGTAAGACTGAATTTGCTCAAGTTTGCAAAGCTTTTTGTGGTCCTTGGCTTATTGTGTGGAACTGGAACACAGTGCACACATGCCACATATTTCTACTTTCCTAGAGCAATTGGGGACGTATTTTTCACATACCACTCTTTGACTCTGGGACAAATGGCTGCTGAGTCAAGTGGTGAAGGGGCACATGGAGGACAAGGCAGGCAAAAAGCAAGCAGAAAAGCAAACAGTTACTCTAATGTTGCAGAAAAACAAAGCTAAAACTCCCAGTAAAATCAGAGTCTCTGTAAACAAGAGAACAACATAACCCGTTCTCAGAAGTGCCTTTGACAAGCTGTTGTATTGATAGCTGATTCTGGCAGCTGGCAACTACAGAATATTAATGAAGCACTGGTACAAGACTGTCTGAACAGGTTGATCATGACTGACTGAAGTCTACAGTGCATGATATCAAGATACATTATTTGTCTGTAGCGTTTGCTCTTAGTTTGACCTTGTTGCTGGTTTGCTGCTTTCTAGCTTTTCCCCCCCATTTTCTTCCTTCCTTTCCCTTCTTTCCGCCCTTCCTTCTTCCCTCACTTTCTCTTTCATTCACTAGTTCTCATTTGCCCAATTAAGTTAAAATGTACTGAGACCTATATAGTAAAAAAAATTGCATATCACGTTTTAAAATTGTTCTTTTGCCCTGTTTCCCTCCTCTTATTTGTTAGTAGACACACAGAGCTCTGATTACAGTAGGCTATGTTCTTGCTCACTGCTTACATAAGTGGAATTTATGCAGGGGAACTAGAAGGAGCTTAGGAAAAAATCCTTGTGCACAGTCTGACTCAGGGTATGGAGAGGCTGAGCAACCTCTCTGCATCTGACAGAGAGAAGGGAGATTGATGGCTTCACTTGGGACGCGCTTCAGTCACCCTTCCCCTGCTGTTTCCCTGGGTGGAGAGCAGGCAGCGTTCCTCACTCACTGCTTGCCTATAAAAGCACAGGTATGAGCACTGCTCGCTGACTGGCTTTAAACACATGATGGAATTCACATGACTGACTAAAAACACTGATGGTGACCTTTATTTACTCAAGTGCTGCATTTTTTTACCTGTCTGGTACTGTGTCCTTCACATGGTTATCATCACACTTGCCTGTTTTTTATGCTTTCTACCATATTTCTTTTTATTCTTCACAGCCCATAATAAGCTCTGAGAGCTCTGAAAAGGCATTTTGCTTGTCACTGCTTTATACCTTCCTCTTCTGTTTCTTCCCTCGTCAGTATTAATGTCCACTCATGTAAAATGCTGTTTTATTTTGGTTGCTAGTGGATTTTTCACTTCTCTGTATACTACCCAAATCTTACTAGTTAGGCTTATATTAAAGCTAGGTTTATTAATGTGCCTAGACTGCTTTAGGAGGAGTTTCGTTTCTGGGATATTAATTGCAAATTTTACACGAAAAAGTTGCTTTAGCTCCTGAGCGGCTATGGAATGTTTAAGATGTTGGATTTAACATTTCTGACGTTATGAATACTTTCTGGTGCAAACATGTATTTATCATTTTCTTCTTCTTCACCTTTTATTAACTGGAGCTAAAATTGGCTATCACGATCATAAAGGAACATCAGGGAAGCTATTATTAACTGCACTCTGTGGGAAAAACAGGAGGTGTGAGATACAATGATCCAGACTCTTCTTTGTGAGTGTGTGGTGTGCCGCATATGGTAGCAGCCAGCCTTTCATTGCAGCAGTGCTACATGCTGGACGTGCAGTGGGCTTTTGCCCACTGAGCAGTTTGCCTCTAGGCTGGGGCACAGGAGCAGCCAGTGTCCCTTTGCTCTTTTCCCTGATGCCCTCTTATGTCTACTGTGAAGCTTTTGAAGGGAAGAAAGCATTGAACTGTCAGAGCCTGTTCTGCAGCCCTAAGGAGGTGGATGTAATGGGGTCTTTCCAAAGCATGACGCCTTGGTGACATTCAGAAACCGTCAGCATTCTTCTGCCTCATGTGGTGGCAGTGATCTTTCAAAGTGGTTATGTATTATTTTTAGGAAAAGGAGTGCTTCCTCGATAAATTGATAATCCCTTTCCATCTTTTATGGAGAGCGATGCCTTGATGTTGTGTGGCATTACTAAAATTTATAATAGAGACAGAAGTGTTGTCATATGAATGTGAAATATGAAAACAAATATGCTCAAACCTTTGAAGTGTAAGGAAACAATAGTTAACCTTTTTTTAGGAATTAACCAAAAGTTTTCTCAAATGAATGGAACAACAGCTTTCTGGGACAGATAGCAAACTCTGCTGTTTACTGTCACTCAGTTCACAGAAATAAGGTTCTGCTTTTCATGCCAATTTGAGCTTTTGTGCTTTTAAAGGCAATCATTCATCTCTATGTGTGTTGTAACTTGCAATGGGTTTTCTGAAGGTGCTCTTCCTTCTAAAGGGTCTTGATTCAGCAAAACCTGGTATTCTTAACTACTTTGCCAAAGTTAATTCTCAACAGCTAGAATGATCTCTACTTGTCCAACTTCTTATTGTGGTAGGCCCAGGTTTTCTTCACTGATGTCAGTTGGCTAATCTTAAGCTGAGGCTAGTATAAGCAGAAACAAAGTACATGCCAGGGATTCTTTCTGGATGTGTGTATGAAAAGATTTATATGCACCGTGTACGAAGCAATAGAAATCTATTGCTGCCAGCAGCACATATGTATGTTATGATGCAGAAGGCAGCAACCTACCTGTGCTTTTGCAACCTTGCATAGAAGCCAGATGTTTTAGTCGTTGATTTTGGTTCCCCTCAGAGGTCTGCCAATATAGGATCATAGAATCATAGAATGTATTGGGTTGGAAGGGACCTTTAAAGGGATCTCTGGTCCAACCCCCCTGAAGGGACGTTGTTACTTGATCAGGTTGCTCAGAGCCCCATCACACATGATCTTGGATGTCTCCAGGGATGGGGCCTCCACTCTACAATCAGCCGCAGTAAAGTGGAGGATCAGCAGCTCAGTGGATTTCTGTTGCAGGGCTAGCTTAGTGATAGGTAATCTTAAAAGCAACACTTTGCTAGGTTTGCGGCATATATTGCACACAGTGCTACATGGCCTTTACCCCAGAAGTACTCCAGGCTCTATCCAGAAAGATTAATATAAGCTGACACAGTTCATTTTTTAGTTGTTGTTAGGGTAATCATCTCACTCCCACTGCTAATGCAGTTTGCTCCGAGAAATTGGAATATGCTTTAAGTGGCATGGAAAAAATCACATGGAGACTCGCTGGTAATCATAAGCATAACAGCAAGCTACACACTGTTATCATCCATGGCTTTCGATACTGGTATGGCAGGAGACCAATCAAGAGTAATAAGTTGCCGAAATGCCCAAGAAAGAAAGAGGGAGGAAGGAAGAATTTTCAGTTCATGCTGTCTGTGTAGGCTTGATTACACAGAAGAAAACAGTGCAGTCCAGCTCTGTGTTTAATAGTAAGGCAATTTTGTAGTGGAGAAGTCTCAGAATTACATTCTTACTGCTACATGTTTTGTGAGAAGGTTATGCAGAATGTAGAAAGCTTAAGTTTTTAGATATGAGGATGTTAATAACAGTATAAAAATTATTTCAGGACTTAGGAGTTTTATATGGATTACCTGTGATTTTCTGAGCTGCCTGAATATGTTGCTTACACCTCTCAGAACCTCTGTAAGATATCACTCTGGTGGCATCTATTATGATAAATTCTAAATTAGAAAATAGCTGTGGAAAGTTTGTGAGGTTATTAGTAAAGGACTTCCTGATGTCTTTTGACATGTGGAAAAAAAGTAAAAATAGTACCATCAGGCTCCACCTTGTTCCTTCAAGTAATATCAACATCAACTAATATGAAGATGAAAATTTTAAAAATAAGAGTACAATATGGAATTGTAATATTTTTGTATTTATTTTATAGATACACAGGGAATTTAATTCAATGATCAAAACTTGGGTAATGTCAGTATATGATAAAAAATTCTGTAATGAATTTATTCTTTGCTGTCATCGCTGATGGTTTTGCTCAGGTACCAGTAAACATTGCTAACAAAATGGCAGGTAGTGATAATTTACTGTAACTTTTTTCCATTCTTTCCTATAAGTCAAATTTCCCTTTTTTTTTTTTGTTTATTTTCTACTGTAGATAGTAGATTTACACAAGCATGTCATTTTCCAGTAAGTGACTAATAGCAAATACAACTTCAGTGACAGGTCAGTGATTTGTAATAGTTGCCACAGACTGAACAGGGTGTTGCAAGTATTCTTGCCACGTAAGTTTTTTTAGTAGAACAGGTTTTGCTTCTGAAATCAGGTACTGGCACTTTGTGGTCCCGTGAAAGCTGGAAATTGGTCTCTGCTCTGGGGATTCTTTATAATCCCTCCAGATAATGGTTGAGTACTTCAGTTTGATAAAGAAAAAAGAAAAACTGTTTGAAACTTTGTTTCTTCTCTTCTTTTTCAGCCTAGTTGGAGAAGAGATAAAGAGCAAAAATGCCACCAGCAACAGGAGCACCACAATACCCACCTCCAGATGGAGGTTGGGGATGGGTTGTGGTCTTTGGGGCTTTTATCTCCATTGGATTTTCGTATGCGTTCCCCAAAGCCATTACGGTATTCTTCAAAGAAATACAAGAGATCTTCCACACTTCATATAGTGAGATAGCTTGGATATCATCGATCATGTTGGCTGTCATGTATGCAGGAGGTAAGATATTTGTGAAATTTGCAAATATAAAAGTATTTGCATAGTTCTGGGGGTTTTTTCTATGGTCTTAAAGCTTTTAAAGTTAATTACTACCAGGTTTTATCATAATTACTTAAAGAATTTACCAAATTACATCGGGTTTTTGCATCATAGAGTATAGGTAACCACACCATCATTAAAGTTGTGTTTACTTTCACTTTTAAAACATTTTATATTCTCTTCCTTTTTGTTTTCCTGTTATGGTCTTCAGTTCCTCTGCCTAATTCTATTTTGCCATTTTGCCTTAAATTCACATTTTCTGAGAACTTAATTTTCCAAAACAGCAATGTCCATGTAACTTCTCTTGGGACTGGGAGTGCATTTCCTCAGTTTCCACTGCCTTGGTGAGATCTCTCAGTAGATCACACGATGGAGCTTAAACACAGAAAATGATTATGGCAATAAGGGTTCATTAGTCAGGCACAGGTATTCCTTTGTAGACAGGGGTTTTATATCTTGTCCCTGTTTGTCCTACTTTCCATTTAGGTGAAGAGCCATGTTTCATACATGCCATCTGTATGACAGCTAAGATACAGACAATCTTATTCTTGCAACTGAAATAAACAGTGAACATAAATTCTCTGATTTATTTTTGCCTGTGAACAAGCAAGTAAAGAACAAGACAGATGAAGAAGGATTTTAAAGCATAAAGCCATGTTTAAGTACTAAGTGTCAAACCTGCTTTGGCAGGTTTTGTGTCTGTCAACCTCAAAGACTCACTGTTTAATTCTGCTTGATTACTTTATTCTTTCAGAATATTTTTTGTTTAAGTGTTGGTCGGAGCTAGCTGCTACTTAGGCAAAACACTTTTATCAGGCAGGTCAGAGGCCTATTTCAGGCAATAGATCTGGCCTTGCCCTTTCTTTGGATGTTGTGAGGTAACCACTTGGAACATCTCAGAGTGTTGGTGATGATGGAGCAATTAAATATATGTTTATATGTATGTGTGTATGTATATGTACATACGTATAAATCCATATACATAGAAACTGAAAACATTGTGCTAAGAGTACACTGAGATTTATTATCATTAATCGCTGAAGAGCATCACTCCAATATTCTTCAGAAGTGGTATCTGTGTAGTAGTAAAGTCTAGTATTGTCAGGTCCATAACAACCTACTGAAGGAATCATGAAGTCTCATTTTTAGCATGGATTTTTTTTATATCTGATTTCAATGTACCTGAGTTTTGACACCTGAATGACCCTAGCTTCTTTAGCAGTCAGGGAAGAGAAATAGGTGCCTACAGAGAAAAATTCAGGCTACCTGAGTTGCTCTCTTTCAGTGCCTGTTTTTCCCCTCTGACTATAAAAATGAACCTGTAGCCAGCATAGCATTAGCTTAAGCACCTCAGGAAAATATTTTTCAGTTAATGGGATGAAAAATAGATAATTTTTTCAAATGGTGGCAGAAACAGAGACCTTATAAAGACATCTTGACAAGCACTGTCAGTATCAACAAAAGCTTGCTGTTCAGATATTTTGTTCCCATTTCTATTCATATAGTAATAGAGAATCATAAATTCTTCATATACATGTAGAGAATCATAAAGGATTTTATAGGATCAACAACAATAACCAAGTGATTCACCAAAATTCACCAGGTGAAGAAGTAACTTCAACTAATGCAATCAAGAGTGGAGTAAAAGAATAGGTATGTCCCCTGTCACATTCAGGTCCCCTCTAATGTAGTTGCTTCTTAAGGATGCATTTGCACTTGCACTGTGGAGTATACACATGTAACTGTGGAGCCCTCTGTACAGTGTTGGACCTGTCTGGAATGAAGAGAGCACAGGTGTTGCTGCTTGCCTTATCCTATGACTTTTGACCTAGCCTCTTTTTCACCACATTTTCTAATCTGAGCTGAATTTTCTAAGGGCAGGATTGCTTTGTAGTGCAGGTGCTGTTCTTTATGCCATTTCTGTCATCTCAAATTTCACCCAAGTTTTATTAGTACAGATGCAAAACACAGGATATTTAGCCTTATCTAATTTTTATCTGCGAGGTTCAATGTGCACAGCAGTTAACATAAAATAAAAGGCATTTAGTACTTCTGCCTTTTCTTTAATACTTCTCTTACTGTTCTGAGTACCAGCATACTAACTTCACCTATACATGTACCTTGAAAACTACAGAATGGTTTACCGTTCATTCTGCTAACACCTACCCCAGTCACTGTGAAGATTATCAGCACAGGAAGAGTAGGCAAAGTTGTTTGGATATCTTGTTACAGGCTCGTGGTTTTAAAATGCTGAGAATGACAACCCTGCCTGAAATAGACATTCTTTGAAGCCTTCTTCTCTACAACCATTTCCTAAAAAATAGGCCATTTAGACAATCACTGGCAGAATATAAAATAACAACCAGGAAAAACATTTCTGAAGGAAATCACTCCATTGTCTTTACTGTCTGAAAGTGGTTTGATTCCTTAGCACTTGATGTGCTGTAATGTGAAACACACACTCAGATCATGAGTACAAGGTGTATCGTTTACTATGAAGTGTGATATGTATGTCTGCGATGAACACTGTTCATCATACTACTAATTAAGGTAACCTGAAAACATCTAAAATCTGTCACCCTCATTAGAGCTTACCATTCAACCTATTAATCATCACAGTGGGGTCAGTGAATAAGTTAGAGTCTCTGCAAACACTCTTTGCTTTGGAGGCTGCAGCCTCTTGCAGTAATTAGCTGGCATCTGTGTTTCAGTAACAAGGTATTAACTTACCTTTCAGTGCTTGAGGAAAAAAAAAAAAGAAACTAATAAAAGGCATCCAGTAAGGAGCTAAAAAAATGTTAATTATGTTTATCACTTACTTCATACTTAGAATAAATGGCATTAAATTATAGCAGACCATCTGGCAATCCATATGGTCTCCTGCAGTCCTGGTTAATTCCAGCAAATAGGTCAAGCACAGCATTCACCCTGTTAGGAAAGCACTAAGCAGAGGTGACAAATCTGATAAATCAAATCAGTCTGAAACTCTTTTCCTCTCTTAACCTGGCATAATTTGCACTTTCATACTGGTTTTTTTCTTTGATTTTTTTTCTTGATTTTTTGTTTGTTTTCTTAAGCTCTCTCTTTTCCCCCTCCTCATCTCCTGGATGTTTGTTAGAGTTTACCAAAAAGCAAGATTCTGTGATTTGATCAAGGTTACAGGTATTGCACAGCCTCTACTGTTCAGCCTGTGCTTAAAAAAAGCATCCTCTTCCTATTGAGAAGAGCAATAGTTCAGTCTCCATGGCAACTCCTTCTTCTGCCTCTCTTGAGCAGAGACTATCAATTGTATTAAATTAAGGGTGATGATTTTGTGATGGACTTCTACACCCGAGGGACTGTGACTGAGACCACCAAACTTTTGTTACTGGAAGACAGAATCTGGAATAAAATGGAATTAGTTGGGTTATCCTGACAGGGCAACCTGTGTTTCTGTACGTATATGAACGCATACATATATAAAACATGCACAGATGTATGTATTCTTATATGCATAAACTATGTATGTATTCATTTACTTATAGATTCATATTTATGCTCTAACACCCACAGGCATTAGGGAGTTCAATAAAAAGATCAAATACGTGTGACCTCAAGTTCACTCAGTTCATTCTTCTATTTTTCAGAACTTCACCTCTCACTTTGTGCAGCATTAATCTGCCAAAGGTGATTAGAGAGCTCCTTATCGGTGCTCAGTCTGTTTCCAGTAAAAATGTTTTCATTGCTTTTAGTGTAGGTTTGATAGGAGCCTTAGTGGCAGCTCTGAAAGCCATGTGACAGGTCCAGTGATTTCAGACACAGCTGACCTTGAGTTTTAGATTTCCTCCGGGAAAAAGCAGTTGGTTTGCTCACTTGTGTTTAACTCTTCTGTCATTTTCCAAGGGCAATTTCAGAGGCTTTGTTTGTTTGGTTTGGTTTTGGATTTGGTATTTTCGTTGGTGTTTGTTTTGGGTTTGTTTTTTTATGTGAAATGTAGGATAATCTTGCTAGTTTGAAGTTCAAGAAACAAAGGTCCATTTTAGTTCTAAATTGTATTTGTAAGTAAATAATATAGAAAGCACTTTTAGACCCCTTTTGAAGAAAGTTGATATATAAGTTTAATCAGTGGCCATTACCATTTTCCAAAACATGCTTATAATTTAAAAATCCAGCATTTAATAACTTCCATTCTCTTTTTCCATATTTCTTAAGTTATTCAAGTTTAATTTAAAGTATATCCAAGCAGTAGCAAACCCTTAAAGGATTTTTCAGGTGACAGCAAAAAGGTAACCTATAGACAAGTTTTTTTTTACTTTGTCAAATATTAATTTGGAAAATAACATTTCATATGGTATGTTCAAAATATTTGTGATTTTATCTCAGTGGGTGTTTTGGTGATATTGCTGTGAAGATGAAATGGCGTGCACAGTGGAGATGACAGTTGCGAAATCCATGTAACACAAACAACAGATGGTTATAGATTTTTACTTTTGGACAGGACCTGGGCTCCCACACTTTCCTTCCTCCTTGGTAACATTTTCTTATTTTGTTTTTACAAATACTGGCACAAGGAATTCAGTGGCTATGGATAAGGAGATTGAGAAGCATTCTTAAATTGACCTATGTCCTTTGTTGTCAGGAACAAGTGTTTTTCTCCATCAGAATATGCAACGTGTTGAATTTTAATAACCTCATTTAGAGTGTCCTTTAAAGCAGAACTTATCCAAATGTCTCATGGGCATGAGGGAATACTTCACATTTAGCCTAAAATATATGTAAAGCATCTATGTCAAGTTAATTTCAGACTCACATATAAAGGAAAAGAAGTCATAATGAGGTGACACAAGAACAAAGCATTTTGAGTCTTACTAACAAGTGGAGATAAGTACAGAAAAGAAGTATCAAGAGTAACAGAAATATTATAAATTTACAATCGTTCCATTTTTAAAAGAAGACCTGAATGGTAAGGAAGCCTGATAAAA